TAGTTGTACCCTCATCATAATTGTAACGTTGTTAATTATCTAATAAAAAGCCCCCCGGCCAAAGAGGTCACCTTAAACAACAAAAAAAAAAAAAAGAAAATAAGACGTTATAACTGTACCCCACCACCATCTTATGAGAAAATTTTATCCATGTTGAGTCATTGCGAATTCACCACTACCCAAAGGAATCGTTCAGCATCTCCTAACCACAGGGTTTCTAGTAATAGGAGAGTAGGTACTAATAGAGATAATGAAAGCAATATAAATAATGAGAGCGAAAATTCTAATCATAATAGCAATAATTTAGTTAATACTGCTCCAGACCATAATACATCACAAGATAACAGTGATATTAGTATGCCTGATGTAAGAGGTAGCCAACCACCTTCCTGTATAGAAAATATAAACGAGAATTAGCCTGTATAGTATAAAAAATTTTAAATCAAAATACATTATATAATCCGTCAGAATCATTAGTATATTATCTGTTATACATATTAATGTGTCAAAATAAATTCCACATATGAAATTTATCTGTATCATCTTACAAGGCTTACCGTTATGCATTACTTATTTGTGAGATGGGAATTAGTACTTAACCAAAGTTAGTCAATTAACTCATGCCACATCTATTCATTTTGTGAGGAATTCACTCTGAACCACAAAGTGTTACACATTACGGGTTTGTATAATAAAAAATTTTAGCCATGTATAGATTATTTTTTCTGTTAATATGTAGTGATGAAAGATCAGAATAATACACCCGCGAATAAAAAAAAACAAAATTACTTAGAAAAGTGACACCTTTAGAGGGTAGAAGCACGGGTGTAAGGTTTGTGACGAATACAATTATTATTCACATATGTATTGTAAAACATGCAAAATGGTAGTAGATAGAATATATAAGCGATGTGAATGTAATAGCTTTCTAAAAGAAACAACTTCTTGAGTCTGATTAATTTATTATGATCTTGAACAATTAAATAAAAATAAATCTAAACTGGCAATTTGGTAATAATATTATAATAATGATACAATTATTGCATAACTTATTTGTGAAACAGAGCTCCTGATTCTACTGAGTCATTAATATAATTACGTGTCTGTAACCTTAAAGATCACACTCACATGATTACTGTGCTATATATTTAAGTCGACATATATACAATAATGGAATAATATATACATAACATGGTTCTGATAGCTGATTTTGTATATATGATCATGTTTATTGTTGCATGTATATTTCCGGAATTCACTTTATTATTTTGATTTCGATGCCACATTGATTTATATTAGCCTAATTACGCAGTAATTATATACATCAATGAATTTAATAACACATCATCTTTGGATACTAAACAATTTATAATTGCAAAATAAGTTCACCCAATTTAAAAAAAGAATCTAATTTTGTAAAGAAATCAATTTGTGGATTCCTTGTCTACCCAACCATAACCTTTTCTCCTTCCTCTTCCTTTTCTCTTGTTCTTCTCTCCTTTCGATATTTTTGGTAAAAATTGTGCAAATATTACAGCTCTTGGTCATTCTGGAGTGATTCCAGTTGGATATTTATTTTTATGTTTCACAATAAGTTTCTGTCACTCCTTTGCGAACTTCTCAAAGATCAAAATTTCTTTAAGAACATTGTACCATAAACATAGAAGCCAATATCTAACCTATATGCTACCAATATGCTACTGATATGCTACAGTTATTTGGCGGATCTATGGTAGAATAATAGGTACATATCGGGAGATTTGTCTTCCGATATGCACCCGTTATTCATTGATTCAACCTGTGTAGCTTAGCAGACAAAAAAAAAGATTAGTATTGCAAGAAAAAAACATTGGAAAAAAAGAAAAAGAAACCAATACTTATATAATTTCTTATATTAATTTCACCCCAGTTAAAAACATTCACTTGGTGCTAATTATAATTACTAGGAAAGAATAGTACCATACTGTCATAAAAACTCTCTATATACTATACCCGGGTTTACAAGAGATAAAACTTTGGTAAAATATAAGAAACTTGGGGTAAACAAAAAGAAAAAAAACTAATAAAATAGGATAAATCTCCACAGTGCTTATATAGTAGTATATGCTTTGCTCAAACTAGCTTAGCAGGCATTAATTACAAAAAAAAAATTAGTATTGCAAGAAAAAAAAACTTAGCAAAAAGAAAAAAACCAATATTTATATAATTCCTCATTGATTTCACTCTAGTTAAAGACTTTTACTTGGTGCTAATTATAATTAGTATAAAAGAGACAAAATATAAAGAAAGAATTTATATAAAATGCATGTAATAATTTATTATAAAGACCGTTGCAAGGACCAGTCCTTGCAACGGTCCTCGGTCCCTATCGGTCCCAGTCCGGTCCCGGGCTTTTGCGGGACCGATGCAACCCTAGACTTATAGATAAATGCACATTCTTTATTCTGTAAATGCATGCTAACTGCCTGGCCCACTTATAAAAACTCCCTCCATAAATCTATTCACGTGATTACCAGCCAATCAAATTCATTATTTCAAGGCTACTAAAGCCACATTATCATGTGCTAACGGTAATATTGCAATTTTATTAGTGCTCTCTAATTGCAGCCCTCCCTAAATGCACGCTCTAGAGGTGGTCCCGGCGACGTGCATTTAAGGAGGTCTGACTGTATATAAAATATTGATTATAGTCCAATATATATACTTACATTTGGAATATTTGAAATTCAATATTATTGCGAAATTATAATTAGAACTACCAATTCGATTTTGCCGATTTTTAATAAAATTTTTTATTCGGTTTATCCGAATATCCGCCGGAGTTAGTCAAAGACAGATGAACAGATACAGATAAACTCCGGCTTATCTGAACGGATAGACGGATCCTATCTATACGTATCACTATATTTGACTTTTTTTTGTTGCAAAATTATATTTGCAACTACGGATGATTTCCCGGAACGAAATTTTGGCTGTAGATCTCCTGCACGAAGATGTTACAAGCTACAAAAAAATCACAGCCTAAACGTTTATTGACGCGATCTAGTTTACGCATATCTGTTAAAATTGAAAATCTCTATTTTTTTGGGAGTCACCAATCAAATATTTGCATCAATTTATCAAAACCATTTAAAAAATCAAGATTATCAATTTTCAGATCATTCATCTTGGAATTTTTTTTTAAAAATTTATGATGTTTCGCTTAGTCAATCGTTTCAATTATACAGTTCTAAAAAAAATCAATTATAGAAATGCTTCAACAATTTCCAATCCTACAATTGCCAACATAGAGAATCAATGGAAATCCTTATCAGAAACCGAAAAATCTAATCTCATAAAGAAACTTGAAGAACTGCAAAAACAGGACTGGAATAAGCTATCCATTGACGATAAAAGAGCAGGTCAATGGCTTAAAATTTTATATTTATTTATCTAACACCATATTGTAAGCATTTTATTAACCAAATTTAACATTCTTTAGCTTACTATGTTTCGTTTGGACCTCATGGTCCGAGAGAACCACTTACTGGACCAGGTCACACGAGTAAGGTATTTATTGGGGTTGGCGGTGTTCTTGCAGCATCTTTAGGAATCCTTCTTTTTACCAAAAAAGCAGGTATGCCCTTTTAGTTAATAACCATAATATAATTTATTTAGCACTACTAGTTATTGTATACTTATGTATATGTTTTTTGTGTAAGTTCCCGAACATCCGAGGACCTTAACTAAAGAATGGCAAGAAGCCACTAATGAAAAAATGCGTCGTCAGAAAGCAGATCCAATAACCGGAATATCATCTGAGGGATATAAAGGAAAAGGCTACGTTGAATAATTAGTAGTAGTAAATTCGATTTCATCGAAATTTTATTTCTTTGGTAAAATATGTTTAAATCATCATAAAAACTTCGAAATAGTTAGTAAATATAGCAAGCAGAATATAACAATTGATATTTGTAATATTCAATCGAAGAAATTATTGAAATACATCTTGGAAAAGCCTTTATTAATTCATATTATATGAGCATTGTACAAAATTATACAAAAATACAATTTCTCTTACAAGCAAACTTTGTTTACAATAGTTAATATATTGTGAATCAGATGAACGTCATCAATAATTATATAGTATTAATATGCGCCAACTTTAGGACAATCTTTTCGAATATGACCTTCCTATATATAATAATTTATAAGTTATTACAAGTAAGAATATCAATTAAATATATTTCGATTAATACCTGTTGGCAATTATAACAAACTTTAGATCCTTGAGGAGAATCGCAATCTCTACTAAGATGACCAGATCTACCACAATTGTAGCATTTCTGGGCCTTGACACAGTCACTGGAATAATAAAAAAAAGGAATATTAAGTTAAATAGTCGCTGTTTAAAGACAAAGCTATAATTCATAAACAAAGAATACCGTTGAAGATGTCCATGCCCTATTATTAAACCAATTAAAAGCATTAAAAGGAAATATTAGATTCGAATTATTATTAATTAATTACAAAAAAAAATTGAAAAGTTCTTATTACCACCACAACCGTAGCAAGTTTTAGATGTGAAGCCAGTATTATAATCATCATTTGAATAACAATTACGTGCGATATGCCCGGTCTGAGATAAAATGATTAAAATTAAGAAGCGCTTGATGTAACATTGTTAAAAAGAGGGGACTTCTTCGAATACCTTTCCGCACTGTAAATAAATAATTATCGTATATTTAGTTATTATTAAAATGTATGAGAAAATGTTTAAGACAGTCACTCGCCTTATAGCATGCTGAACTTGAACTGTTTCTTGACCCAGAATTATAATCATCGAAATAATTATCGTCATTCATCTCACAATTCCGGGCGATATGTCCTGACTAGAATAATTTTCCATTTATTTATTATAATAAATATTAATAAATTTATTATATACTTAAGATTCACATTTCTTCATAACTTAGTTTATACCTGGCCACACTATAAAATAACAATTAAAAAAAATTATAGATCAGTGACCAATTTTGTTAAAATATTTATATATCATATGTTTTATAAGCACAACTCACCTTATAGCATTCAGAGTTCGTCGAACAATTACGTGCGATATGACCAGTCTATGAAATTTTGAATAATTAATATATACTTAATATATTAACAGTCATTTAATTTAATTCCATTCTTATAATGTTACCTTTCCGCACTAGTAAAAAATCATAAAAGTTTAATATATATTTGGGTTAATGTAAAATCAAAAAAATGAAAATTTAAGTCATTTACATACCTTAAAGCATTCAGAGTTATAATCACGCATACGGTAGTCCGAGTTAAAATCATCCTCGAATGATTCGTTATTACAATTACTAGCTATATGACCCGGCTAATAAATAAAGGGTTTTGATCGTCTCATAAATAATAAAAAATTGCAAATTAAAGATATACTTGTAAAATTGGTGTACATACTTTGCCACACTAATAAAAGTTATAAAATGTGTAAATAAGATGTAAACGCATGATATAACGCTTTATAAGATTATGCACCTTGAAGCATCTCGATCCAGAATTGCCTGTCGCAGAATCTGAATAACAATCGCGACTCTATAAAAAAAAATTTTATCCATTATCGTAGAATCAACCAAACTTTAGTTGCTCGAGTATTAACAACTCAAAATTGTTGTAGTTACATACAATATGACCTGCATCTCCACATTTATAACATGTTTTTTCTTTTGGTGTTTCCGTGCAATCACGACTAAAGTTATTCAAAACACATTAACATAAATTTTTTTGATTTGTGAGAACTGGTTGATTCATACCTAATATGTCCTTCTTTCCTATTTAGTTATATTCGCGTCGAGTTTAATGAATTAAGCTGGTCAAAATAACAAGAAGCTAATATATAAACAAAATTGGGAAGCTTTCCCGAACGTACTGGCAATTATAGCTAAGAATATCAAAGAAGCTTGTATAAGCTAATTGCGAACATTCTTCATTTTTTTAAATAAGGTTTAGGTATACGGAACTTACCAGACAGCGCTAAGAGAACAATCACGAGCCAAATGTCCAGCTAACAATTTATAATGAATTTAGAAGAGCAAAAAAAAAAAAAATACAACTTAATAGGAAGTCACTTACATTCTCCACACTTGTAACAGCCGCCACGACCTCGATTTGCCATTTTTTTTTTTTGAAGTACTTTTGGATTAGAGGAGGTTCATTTCTAATTTATATGTGACAAATCAACTTTAAGATACTTATATACGATAATCAAAAGCAGCCCCGATTTCAGGATTTGGATCAGCGAATCAAATCATGATTGGCAGTTTTTTTTTACAGAATATAGTATGATCGACCAGTGATCACATACAGATAATAAATTTGACGGAGAGTCTAGTACATAGGGACAGTGCAAATCACGTGATTTTATTATAAAAACCATCTACCCTAACCACTAATTAACCAATCACGTAGTCCCTAAGCACTGTCCGTAGACTTTTCATAAATGATTGTTGCAATCACGTGTTCATCCAAGAATTTGTTCACTTCAGGGAACCATTATGTATCCTGTTATTTGCTTTCACATTTATGTGAATTATAGATGTTTCAAAAAACCACAGATTAATAATGAATTGGTTACACGCTGGCTCCAGCTACATGTTATTATGAAACTTATATTGATACTCATTAAATTATTAAACTTTATTTAAATTATTAATAATAAATAAATATAATCTATTTATCTTTTTTAATCTAATCCAATTCAGTTAATAACAATCATAAAAAACATTAGGAGAATATGCAGGACGATTACCATTTAAATAATTGAAAGTTAATCATTTGGAAAAATAGAAATTTCTTTCCAAGTAGAATCACTTATCGAAATTCTCGTCAACTATTTATAACCACATCCACTTCAGGATTACGCACAGTTCTAAATGTTAAACTAACTCTTCTGCTTCGAATAATTTCCTGTTTCTCTCCATTTTCACCCCTGTCAAACCATTCTATAATGTCTTTAGATATGGAATGTTTGTAATCATATCTTGAAGATTTTGTCATTATTAATAAAGATCTTGGCGCTGAATAATTTAAATATTTATGGTCAATTCATGAAAATTTCCATTATGATTATTAGATCAAATACATACGTAGCACTATTAAAAATTGCGTTTCGGGATTACTAGAATGTGTAAATTTCATCAAACACGAAGATAATAATGAAAGGCTTAAAATTATCGGACCAAATATAGTCGCAGCATCAGTGTGCGGCATTATTCCTAAATTTATAATGCATCAAAAGTTATTCTTCAATGGATATATAGATTGTTATAATATTATTATGAATTAAATACCTTGTCCAGCTTCATACTCGTTAATAATACACATATTTGGTTCATCTTCAAAATCAATAATTTTTTGTTGTTTAAATCGCTTAATGATAAATTCAGTAAAAGTTGGTAACGGTCCTAAGTTTTGTATTACTTTCCTATAATTGTAATAATAATTCAATGAAATGGAATGTAATAGATAATATATTAAAGTGAGATGTTACCTATATCTGTAACTAAATTCATAACCATAGTGTTGTGTGCGTCTTTTCATTTCAGGATTTGGACTTTCAGTTATTACCGTTTCGAAGTTAAAAAAAAAAAATTGATTTCAACTATTTCTATGTATCACTTGAAAATTGCAAAAGGATTTTTCTACGCACGCAACACCATTCCCACACCAGATTCTTGAATCGATGGCTCGTATTAATTCCTGTTCTTCAGTCTCTGTAATAAAATCTTCAACTATGTATAGCCCTTCTAATGCTGTGGCCTTTTTTTGCATCTTTTTTTCGGTACGATTTCCTGAAACTACTTTATCGAAAATTATTTCATCGACAAATTTTCATATCTGATATAGCTAGTGATATGAATCAAAAATTGTCTAATCGAAAGGTTGTCAAGCTGACAATTAATCGAATTAAACCTTTTGAAACTCCTCGTTTCCTCGTCTGAAATGTGTGCACGGATCAGATCTTCCCCAGCATCCGCCTTCAAAATTACATTGTCACATGATATTGTTTGTGGCGTAAAAATCTTTTTTAAATTTGTTTAATTTAGAATCACGCGATGGAGTCGCTATTTATTTATTACATACCGTTTACCATTACTATTCTAAAAAACAGGTCATATACATAATAATACTCAGCAACTATGAATAATATTAATCAAACGAAAAGCCCAAGAGTACCAGAAGGTAATTATTATTTTTTACGCGTGTTATGTCCCTTGTTATAGGCTTACACGCATTTTTCATTAATTAGAATTAAAGGTTCTATTTGGTGAAATAAACGTAGGAAAATACTGCAAAAGGCATAGAGTTTCACCAGAAGTAAGTGTTTAGCGACTGCAAAACGCATCAATTACTTTTTCAGCTGACAAGCTGTTAATAGGAATTCCAAAAGATTCGCTGTCAAGCCATTGAGCGAAACAAAGTTCTGCCAAAAAATGGCCTTGATATGTTGAATGAGTTGAAGGCACGTGATTCGTGCCGATTTTCAATAGGATACGCGAAGTAAAAATTATATCATGTAAACTTTGTAACTAGAAATTGATGAAGGTTTAACTAATCTGAATGTCTTACAGCATAGATGAATTATTAGGTGGTGGATTACAACCTGGTGATATTACGGAGATTAGCGGAGAATCTACTGCTGGAAAAACCCGGGTTTGACTTTTTTTCAATCGTATTTTAATTTCTTTTAATTTCTTTAAAATAATTACTTGAAATTGATTAGTTCATTATAAACAGCTTTGTTACTCTGCGCTAATATCAATAACATGTTTGAATAAAGAAAATACAGCCTTGCTCATTGACACAAAGAATGGGTCATGCGCAAATTATATTAGAACTTTATTTTTGGAGAGCGATCAATTCGCGGATGCAAGAGAACGAGGGATGGTAAGCAATTAATCCTAATCAATTTTTAAGTTTTTTGTTTTTAATTATTTAGTTGCTAAATATATATAGATTATTTTTCATTCTTCAAACAGGATGCTGATAGCATATCTGATAGAATCCACATTCAGAAGGGCTGTATATATGAGGATGATCTATTGAATGTAATCGAGGATCTGAATCTGCAGTTTCAGCAAAAGGTTAATTATTTCTTTTTCATCAATGCGCTCGGCTTGAAATTAATAAATCTTCTTATTATAGGAGATCAATAATTTTTACTTGAACTTAAAGTTAATAGTAATTGATTCGATATCGTCTGTGTTCTCTCCACTTCTCGGGTATAACATCGATCACTATCGTAAGGAAATAACTATTTTAATGCATTTCATTTATCTTTAATTATTTCTTAATTCTTGAGATTTAAGCATACTCTAGGATAACTATTTTTATACGAACTCTTCGAAATTTAGCAAAAAAACATAATATAGCGATATTGGTACCTTTACGTTTTATTTGCTTTAAAATGACATTCATTATTTTATTTTTAATGGTTTTCGATTCTTATAATTTTGTTTTGTAGATTACCAATTCGGTTCAAAATGCTCGTCCATATGACCATAAATCAGTTTTTTCAATAAATAAAAAACCAACTCTCGGCCAAACATTTACTTATCTTACTGACACAACTTTATTCCTTTCTTTGGGTGACGATTTAGATCAACGCGTGTATATTAATCGTCAAGGATGTGAAATTCTAGGGGTACCAAGAATATGTGAGATTCTTCGCTCACGGAAAAATCTGGTATATTTAATTATTTGATTGAGGATCACGTTAAAAACAATGATGCATAATGCTAATTGATTATTTTAAAAGGTGATTGGACGATACTGTATTTTTTATATGGTAAGGAATTAATCTTTATTTCCTAAACTATTTATATAAAATTCTGTTTAATTTCTATTATTTTGATATTTTAGGGTTATACCGAGTTCTTCTCTGAGTTTGCCGCTATTTAAGATCAACCAAAATCGAATGTGAATAATTATGAGACACTTGTAAATGAAATTGCAAATTAAAAACCTTTTCATTTTACAAGAAATAGAATAAAAAAAAATATTTTTAAATACAAAAAGAGGACAAATGTTATGGCATAAAAATTTCAAAGCTAAGGTTATAATATATATTTAAAAATTTATTCTGTATTCTTTCAAAACTATTACTGTTATTGTATGTTAGATTTATATATTTAATTGTATTTTATTACAGTATTTAAAAAATTATAAATTAATTATAAAGATACTAAAGTTTTATAATAAAAATTATTATTTTTTATATAAGCTACATAGTAAAAGCTTTAATTGGTAAATCGTTTTTAAAGGGAACAAAAAATGATAATCCTTATAATAAACAAAATCAGAAATTTATATGTTT